TCACGCAAAAACTACTGAACGGTTTTTGTTGAAACTCTTCTGTATTATTGTTTATAACCCAGATTAACATATAGGCTATAATTTATGACGATCTGTGACAAATAAATTTCAATAAATAAAATTAAATAAGACGTCTAAAAAGCGCTATCCATCGTCATTGGTTAAAATCTACAGCGCTGGACAAACTACTGTTTTTGACATTCGTAAATATTCATGCCGTGAAACGCAATCTATCAACATAATAATTAATTATCTAATGGGGGTAAAACGAGGTCCACGCGTACGAAGTCGCGGGCGGCCGCTAGTAATTTATAAATTCTTGTAACCCATTTTCAACCGACTTCAAAAAAAGGAGGAGGTTCTCAATTCGACCCGTATGTTTTTTTTTTTTTTTCTATGTTTGTTACGCGATAACTCCGCCAATTATGAACCGATTTTCAAAATTCTTTTTTTGTTCGATAGGGTACACTTCTGAGGTGGTCCCATTGTCACCAAGTCAGGATCTGATGATGGGATCCTAGGGAAATCGAGAGCAACCCTCAAATTTTATAGGCACGTATATCGTTTTTCAAACTTTTTCTTAAGTTATTCATATATTTGCTCCTGGAAATCATCATCTCATATTGATGAGCTGATGATAGAAGGTAAAACTCCTTAATGCTTAGGAGTTGGAGGATAATTCTTTAAATATTATAAGTACAAATAGACCAACAGTTGTATTCTTTCATGTTTTTAAGGTGGGCTGACGGTTTAAGGTCTTTTTAGGTTTCCTATATGGTAACCTGAATTTTGTAGGGAATATTATTTTACACTAGACATGAAGAGTATGGTCTCAATGTACTGCCTACCTTCAGTGGTAACATCAAGGTAATAATTAGTTAACTAAAAAGCAATAAATAAGTAAAATTTTATAAAAAAAAAAAGTATCAATCATGGTATACCTACATAAATATTAATTCGTCCTAATAAATAAGTAGGTTATTAGTAATTATTTTTCTACTTTTTAATGTAGGTTTTTTGGAGTCGGTTTTTCATAGAAAATCTCGATAAAATCCGATAGCTTTTCGCCTCTCTTTTGACTCCTATAAAATCGAATAACTAAATGCATAGTTTTCTTATAATCAATAAAAGCTTTATGAGTTGTCAAATTCTTCCAACTGATTATTACAACTAATTACAACTAAACACATACAACAACCAATACAGCAATATATTTCTTCTACAAAGAACCGTTTAACAAAATCCAGACACGAAACCTCGTATACCACGCTACAAATCGTTTTCCTTTATTGTTCATTCATCTCAGTCGAGTTTATCGATAAATCACTGTTTCCCATCCCTAGCGTGTCGAACCTAATCGTTTACAAGCCAATATCGATGTCGCCACCCAGTCGGCTGGAAAGATATCCCGTAAACTACCCTCGTATTTCGGGCTTATACCCGTAATATTTAGTCCCAGATTTGTGTACAGTTGACAGCACTTCAGCTAAATACTTATTTTGGTGCAAAATCGCATTATTTCAAGTTGTACACAAGAGGCCACAGTTTTTGCTTGACGTGACATCGTGGTCACGTTCGTTCGTTTCAGCCGAAAGACGTCCACTACTGGACAAAGGCCTCCCCCAAGGATTTATACAGAGACCGGTTCTGCGCCGCTCGCATCCAGGCACCTCCCGCGACGTTCACCAGATCGTCGGTCCACCTAGTGGGGGGCCTGCCCACGCTACGTCTTCCGGCTCGTGGTCGCCACTCAGAACTTTCCTGCCCCAGCGGCCATCAGCTCTACGAGCTATGTGCCCCGCCCACTACCACTTGATTTTAGAGATTCTGCGGGCTATGTCAGTCACTTTGGTTCTCCTACGGATCTCCTCATTTCTGATTCGATCACGCAGGGAAACTCCGAGCATAGCAAGCTCCTCGGAGCTTGTGTCACACGATTCTGAAACTTCAAGAGGCAAAAATCAAAAACTTACAACCCACTGTTGATAGTAGCGCCCTCCTGTAAATGTCATAATTATATGGTAGTCCAACGTGGCAAAAATCGGAACTACGAGTAATAATCCAGTATAGATAGTAGCGCCCTTCTGACAATGTCATAGCTGGGACTGTTTCAATTTCTTTTCTGCTCAACCCAAAGGTAAACTGGTCGAGAATGCTTTAGTGCATTAAGTTCGCCTTATGTACAAATTTACTTTGGCATTAAAGTTTAAATAAATAAATAAATAAATAGCTGGGACTGTTCATCGACATCTATACAATACAGGTCGGTCTATTGATGGCCTAATAAATTAATTGTTAAGACCGCAAAGGTACTGCCAAACTCCTTGGCCACTCGCCTGGCCGGCGAGAAACTTCTTTTTATTTTTTTGTTCTATCGATTGTCACTTATTTTTCTGCACTTAAATTTTCTGCTGAACAATAGCTTGAACTAAACCAATCTCTTCTTCTTTGCCCTAGCACTTATGTAATGGGATTTTTTTTTATACAACTAGCTGACCCCGCGAACTTTGTTCCGCCTAAATGGCAATAAATAAGCAGACTTTTTTTATTTTCGAACGGGATAAAAAGTATCCTATGTCCTTCTCCTGGCTCTAAACTACCTCCCTGACAATTTTCAGCTAAATCGGTTCAGCCGTTCTTGAGTTATAAGCGAAGTAACTAACACGACTTTCTTTTATATATATAGATTAATTCAATTTTCATATTTACACCATAAAAGCCAAAAGGTCAAAATAAATTTCTCGTAGTGTCGGTGACGTACCTATTTCGTTCACGTTGTCTGACCGTTAAACATAATTTTTAATTACTGGTAAAAACAATGAAAAGTGTTTGTCACTACTAATTGCTTAATTTTGTCGTTCCAAGTTTATTTCCGACCTTGACACATTCAAACTGCTAGACAAAATTTAGTTGTGAAGTTTTTCCAATAATTGTAAGAAATAAGTGGAACAAACTTTACATACGGGTAAGATATGTACCACATACTTTTATAGTATTATCGTACGAATCTTGCTAAGCGAAAATAGATTTCTCAACACATAAAAAGCATTAGAGCAATTTGTATTTCTACGTTTTAGGCCAGTAGAATTAAACACAAAAATTGATTAAATCGGAAATAATTCCTACAAAAGATTTTTTTGCTTTAATGGCTTCATTGGTTGCCCATTAAGACTCTCCTAAGTTTTCGACTTCGACGGAGTTGTGCTTAAGTGGTGGGGGCCCCCGAAAGGGGCGTTTTTTCGGTTTTCCGGTTATACCGCGTAAAGGACTTACCCTATCGAAAAGTGGTCTTCATGACGGTTAAAGGGCACTTAATCCTGCATTGAATAAGACCAAATTCATATGTTTTGGACAAACCGTTCTCGCGCTAAAGTTCGGCAAAGTAGAAAATATACGTATAATTAATGACCCTCTCCACGTCCAATGGCTTGTTACCCACATGCTTCCAAGCCTTGTAAAGGGTCGCCTTAACCAGTGTAACCCTAACAAGGCTCACGAGTTTGATTCGCTTATCCTTGTTCGTCCCAGCCGTTCCTTAACTGCGGTTGCTGCACCTCTTCCTGGCACTCTCCTGAACGACTCTGTGTTACCTAATGTGGCTGCCCCTCTTCCTTGTACCCTCCTGTACGATTTCATTGCTTAGCCATATGCCTGGTCCAAGGTTCGACGCCACAAAATCAACTTCGTACGAGTGAAAATAGTTTAAATACTATTTCCCGTGCTTGCAACATTTTTCTTTACTGCTTCGCCTCTATTAGTCGTAGAGTGATTGTATATATCCTATAGCCTTCCTCAATGTATGAGCTATTCAACACAAAAATAATGATTTCAATCAAACTAGTAATTCTTAAGATTAGCGCGTTCAAACAAACAAACAAAAAACTCTTCAGCGTTTTAATATGAACTTGTTGTTGTTGATTTTTGGCGTCGAACCTTAGACCAGGCATACGGCTAGGCAACGTAGTCATGCAGGAGGATACAAGGAAGAGGGGCAGCCACAGTAGGTAACACAGAGTCGTTCAGGTGAGTGCCAGGAAGAGGTGCAGCAACCGCAGTTAAGGAACGGCTGGGACGAACAAGGATAGGCGCATCAAGCTCGTAAGCCTTGATAGGGTTACACTGGTTGAGGTGGCCCTTTTCAAGACTTGGAAGCCTGTGGGTAACAAACCATTGGACGTGGAGAGGGTCATTAATTATACGTATATTTTCTACTTTGCCGAACTTTAGCGCGAGAACGGTTTGTCCAAAACATATGAATTTGGTCTTATTCAATGCAGGATTAAGTGCCCTTCAACCGTCATGAAGACCACTTTTTGATAGGGTAAGTCCTTTACGCGGTATAACCGGAAAACCGAAAAAATGCCCCTTTCGGGGGCCCCCACCACTTAAGCACAACTCCGTCGAAGTCGAAAACTTAGGAGAGTCTTAATGGGCAACCAATGAAGCCATTAAAACAATAAAATCTTTTGTAGGAATTATTTCCGATTTAAAAGCTAATTCTACTGGACTATTTGCTTCTCTGAGGCAATCCCGATCAAGATGGATAAGAAAAGTGTGTACCTAAGTATGGATAATAATATTGTAGTTTCTGAAATGAAATAAACATGTATCTTTATTTAAGTTTCACCCAAGACATGAAAAAGGGAAGCCCGTAGAGTCCTTCTTTTTACAATGTCCCTTTATCTTTTGCCCCTTACCAGCGTTTCGAAGCAAACATTAAAGTCGCTCCCGCTGTCTGTGCGCTTAGATCTTAAACTACGCAACGGATTTTAATGCAGTTTTCAGCAATAGATAAAGTGAATCAAGAAGAAGATTTAATGTATTAATACATATCACCTGTGCGAAGCCGGGGCGGGTTGCTAGTTATGTCATAACAACGTGATAAACACAATAAGTTTATGGCATTAGTGTAATTAACAACTCAAAATGTATGTCAATGATTGTAGAATCAAGTAAGTACCCAAATATATCCTCCTAACATCAAGTCTGTTTTGTTACAGCTGCACTCGGAGTACCGCAGCACATACAGATGGCACGAGTACAAGGAGCAGCAGCAAGGCGTGATGAAGCAGCCGGCGCCCACGCCGCCCAACGTGCTGCCTCTCACCAGGGGTGAGTGATACGTGATACACGACCTTGACGTCTCGTGGTCCGGCGATAAAGACCGCAACAGTTGTCGCGAGTAAATGGAGCAGCAGCAGGCAACGTGCTGCCTCTCACCAGGGGTGAGTGATACAGGACCGTGACGCTTCAATACTCCGGTGGTAGAGACTACAGCATAGATGGCGCGAGGACAAAGAGCAGCAACAGATGCTCCCGCTCACCAGGGGTGAGTGATACAGGAGTACAGGACCATGGACGCCTCCGTGGCTAGTAGTAGAGACCGCAGGATAGATGGCACGACAAGGAGCAGCCCAACGTGCTGCCTCTCACCAGGGGTGAGTGATACAGGAGCATGGACGCTTCTGTAGCCCGGCGGGAGAGACCGCAGCACAGATGGCACGAGTACAGGAGCAGCAGCAGGGCGTGATAAAGCAGCCGGCGCCCACGCCGCCCAACGTGCTGCCTCTCACCAGGGGTGAGTGATACGTGATACACGACCTTGACATCTCCGTAGCTCGGGAGACCACAGCACAGATGGTGTGAGACAAGGAGCAGCAGCACATGCTCCCGCTCACCAGGGGTGAGTGATACAGGAGTACAGGACCATGACGCCTCCGTGGCCAGTAGTTGAGACCGCAACAGATGGCGCGAGTACAAGGAACAGCAGCAGGACGTAATGAAACAGCCTCGCTTATTAGAGGTGAGTAAGGGGAGAGTCTCCACTCGGAGGTTCTGGGTTCGATTATCAGATGGGGCCCCACACATGATAAAACCCCTGACACCTCATGACTTGACATGAGAATATTAGCTGTCTACCAGCCACATTGAGTCTTTCACATACTGGTCTACTATGTCAGAGGTCATGGATTTGTTGTTCACACAAACAACAAACACAAAAAGTACTACTAGTACTAGGCAAATACTTAGTGTATTTGCCTAGTGTTTCCTTAGTATAACTGGCAGAGAATGCCTTTACGGCATTAAGTTTGCCTTATTTACCAAAAATGGTTATAAAAATAATGCCGAATGAATGATTTTTCTTTCTTTATTTCTAAAAGCTGCATGTTCCAGGTCCCATGGAGCCGGCGATGCCCCGGCGCAAGAAGTACCCCGGCGTGGCGTACAAGACCAACGAGCTGTTCGACCCGGCGCCCGCCGACGACATCCGCCCGCAGCAGACCTCCGCCTTCGATAGAGCCAGGGTGAGGCCACAGCTCTTCATTCACTGGTCACTATTTGTATAGAGTGTGTGGTTCTAGGTATTCTAGAAGATCCAGGATTCTTCAAATTTTGGTCATTGCCTGTGTAGGACATGGATCTGATATCCATCCATTGATCACTGGTTAATGTGGGTCTACCACAAAACGAAATATGAATCATCTATCTATGAATTGAATGTGTGATTCTAATAGAGCCAGGGTCAGATGCCAGCCCTTGAGTCATTGGTCACAGTCTGTATAGAGTGTGGGTCTATTAGAACCAGGGTGAGCCTCATCACGTTACTGCATGATTGTGTGGGATATAGGATAGGTCTGCCGAATCCTCGATGTCTCTGTCCAGCAATGCAATTATTTTGAGTTGGAACTCTTGAAATTAACGATATGTTTTTGTTTCAGAGCGCTCAAAGGAACGATGCTGACAGGGCAGGCCGGCGCAGCAAGTCTGAAGGTCCTCGCCAACCGCGGTGGACGGACACCGTCGAACCAAAGGTAATTTAGTTCTCAACAACTTTACCTAACAAAAATTATTGTGTGTGTAGTGACTGTGTGTATAAATGGTTATTTTACCGCAGTCAAAAACCTTGCTAGAAACCTTTTTTCCTATCTGGAAAGTTCTTGGATTCCATCTTACCTGATAAAAAGAAAGTTCAGTCCAAAGGTGGAACCAAGCTGTATTCGAAATTCTTACTCACAGGAACTACATCCAAGTTCAGAAACATAATAAATGCTGTTAGCATTGCATAAAATAGATTAAAATTATTTTCTCTTTACAAAGAATACAAAAAGTTTTGGGTACAATTTGAGAGAGTACAAGATAAAACCTTGCAAGAGACTGGTGTCTAAACTAGGTCCCTGTGTAAATAATATCAGAGAGCTTAGTGTGACTTTACAAAAAACGTCGTCACTAGCGAGCGCGTAAAAAAACATATGAAATATTAGTTCCTGAAAGTTTCCGCTAGGGGCGTTGTACAATCCGTCATACATTTAATGTCACTTTTTTACGCAGTCGATGTCGATTGACATCGAATGCGTTTGACGGAAACTCACACTACGCCCCCAGACTATACAGATAAATGTCACACCTAGGTAATAACTACCATCATAATCACACCTTGAACAAGCCCTACCACCAGTCCTGGATCTGTCAATAGGCCATATAGGCCGCGGCCCAGGGGCAGCAGATTTCAGATGACGCTTACTCGATTTCAGAAGATAAAAGTTAAATAAAGATCCAACCCCACCCTAGCCTAGGGGTGTCAAAACTGTAAATCCGCCACTGCCTACCACCGATCAACCTGTTCAGCAACACCAAACTGATCCTCTCATCGATCCCCAGGGCTCCACAGCCCTCGGCGACGTGGTGGCAGCGAAGGAGCCAGAGGTGGTGAGCACGGAGTACAGCCAGCAGTTCGCCTGGCCCAAGGACACCACGGATTCTGCCCCTCGGAAGAGCATCTCCATGGGAGCGCTGAAGAAGGCCGCCGTGGCTGAAGGTATACTAGCTTCCACTCCTATTACTTTAGTACACTGTATTCAACTTGTGGTTATTAAATCTCCAATGCAGGAGGAATATACAAATACCTTAGCCCCTGTGTTCATTATCAGGTCATGAAGTCTTCAATGCAGTAGGACGACCCTTTCTAATTTAGAGTAGAGGCAAATTAAGGATTTGGGATACAACTCCCACGCAGGCTATAGTCTGGTCTGCGAGCACGTAGAATTTTGTCCAATGACCCCAAGCTACCCGTCCTTATCGCTCGCGCGTTATGAGGGCTATCGTTTTAGCGCTTACCAGTTGGCGCCACTGTAGAGTAAGGTCCTGTCACTTGCTAGTAGCGAAGACAGTGGCACCAACTTGTGAGCGCTAAAGTGGTAGGAGGACTATCGCATTTACACTCATCAAGATGGCGCCACTGTAGAGTAAGGTCCTGTCAATCGCCAGGGATGCCAACTGTTAAGTATAAAAACGATAGCCCTCATTATATTGCTGTCGCGACTGTGTGACGGGTGCCCGCAGTAAGTGTGCGAGCGCGACAGTAAGATAATTACGCGCGAGCGATAAGGATGGGTAGCTTGGGGTCATTGGACAAAATTCTACGTGCTCGCAGACCGGGCTTTAGACGGGTTGGGGAGGCTTGATGGTTAGGTACATGTTTCTCTCTTAGTCGCCTCTTACGACATCCCAGTCCTCTACGTTATTGAAGGAACCAGAATTTATGAGGTCATGTTTATCCTGAATCCTGGTTTCATGAGTTGTAGCTGTAAGAATATGGGCTCTTTCCAGGTCAATTACACATCTTAAGTATAACCACTTCTTTGGGCCAACTTATCAGCTAAGGAAATGGCGGAAAATACTGAATATAACATAGGATATTGATTCATAATTATAATAATGCAACATAAACTAGAATCTACATATAATTGGTGATGACGTCACCTTGATATTTTGTCCCCCACGGGGTTCGAACCGCTACTACAGCTATTGTTCTATTTGAGTACGCAAATCACGTCCCTACACTTAACCTGTGACAAAGCCACAATTTAATTAGATCCCGTGTGGAACTGTGTTAATAATAAATCTAAATTGAGTATATTTTTTTCATTTTAAAACTAAAATTCAAACTCAAAGGTAAACCTCCGATTCCAAAAAAAGTCCATAAATTACAAACCGCTTAGCATAACGAACCAGCTACAATTCACCGCTATTGTATAATTTGGGATGCACAAGCTACCCACAGACAATCCAAACTTAATGCCGCCGGGAGCCCGGATGGCAACTTTATGCCATACATAAAACATAGGACAAACCACCAAACTTTATCCTGCTGAAAAATTATAGTGCTGCCTGTAAACTACATGTCGATAATACTTTATTGTTAGGAGGGCCAACCTAAAGCAATAAACATCGATAATGTTCTCCATGCATTCTCATTTAACCATCTTTGTCTGTTACAGAATATAAGAAAGTGGTTGGTTTGTTAATGTAGATTTTAATAACTAACGCAGCTTGAGTATCTAATATCACAAATCGACTAAAAAGCAAACGAAAACAAATAATTAAACTAGGTATAAAATAGTCATATTTATTCACATAGTTATTCGATTATCGATATTTTATACAATACATATATCGACAAATTGGCTGCACAAGAAGAGTTATTAAACTCCCTGTGAATTCCAAAATGGTTGATTGCTCTATCGAGATTGTCGAGTATGTTTGCAGTTTTCAGTTCTCTAAAGTATTTAGGGCTATTTTTGAAAAATGGTGAAGTTTATAAAAAAAATCCTAAATGGTTTTATTTTACCATCCATCTGCCAGAGATTATATATGTTGATAATTAGGCAAAGTTCCAGTTTAGCTACAACTGATTTTGACAAAATAACTAACTCGTTTTGAACACATCTGGAGTCTTTGTTATGCAGGTACTTATAACTATCGGACGTCAATTAGGAAAGCGCATTTATCGACTATAAAAGGTTAAACTATTCGTTTCAGCCAAATGACGTCCACTGCTGGACAAAGATCTCCCCCAAGGCTTTCCATAACGACCGCTGCACTGCCCGCATCCAGGTTCTTCCCGCGACCTTCACCAGATCGTCGGTCCACCTAGTAGGAGGCCTGCTCAAGCTACTTCTTCCGGCCCGTGGTTGCCACTCGAGAACTTTTCTGCCCCACTCATAGCTCGTAGAGAGGTTTTTATACTAAGACGAAACTTTCCTAAGCTAAGTACATGTGACTGACCAATGACCATGTTAGGTTTCACACCGGCCTTGAGTCTAGCCGCTGTCTGCCGCTAGCGTTTATTGCCTAAATCTATTTTTACGTAAATGGATCACCGTTAATCCTTATAACAGTGTAGCTTAGCACACTTTTATAATGGTTACTAGCTTTCCACTCGCGGCTTCGCCCGCGTGGAATTTTGTCTGTTACAGAAAAACTTTATCGCGCGCGTCCCTGTTTAAAAACCGGGATAAAAACTATCTTAATACTATGTCATTTCCCGGGACTAAAACTAACTCTATGCCAAATTTCATCAAAATCGCTTCAGTGGTTTAAGCGTGAAAGCAAGACAGACAGACAGAGTAACTTTCGCATATAATATTAGTATAGAAGTATAGAATTAGTATAGATTCGCATTATAAACTACCTAGGCTCACTCTTCTTTGTAGGTAAGTATAGAAATTGTCACATTAAAAAAAAAAATTTTACCAAAATCATAATACATATCTTTTAAAAAAATGGTTTCTTTTCTATTCACTTGCTAACAAGAGTAACCTGTCTGTCTGTCATCCTTTTAAGACCAATGCATAATTTTATAATCGTGAAATTCATAAAAATCAGCTCAGTCAAGTGTGAGAGCGTATAAACGGCTTATATTGAGAATATGCCATTTTGTATCCTGTTGATTGGTTTTAGTTGTTATTTTATCTTGTAAGGATTTACTTGTACCAAATACTTTTTCTTTCGTTCAAAAACGGAGTTATTTTCACATTTATAATATTATCAGTTAGTAAAGAAGTAATCAATCTTGTATGAAATCACTTCTAATCCCTCTAACTTATTCAAACCGTGCGTCCTGACTGAGATTAAACTTGCTCCAGAAACTTTAGTTTTGCTCTCTCAGAAGAGATTTACGAAGTTCAGCTGTGAGAGTACATTATACTTCAAAACCTCTATTCCTAATTATGATAATCTCATTATAATAACTATTAAGGAGGTTGATTAAAGTTCAGAAGATCTCGATAATTGTGAATTCTGTTGAAGGCAGTTGAACGAAAAGTCAGTTTATAAAAACTTTGGTTCGAATACTAGCTAGTAGTGATAAGTTAATTTTACTTCTAAATATAATCCACCTCATCAGTAACAAACAAAACGATAACGATAATAGAAATAGAATAATAGAAATAAATCAGATATTATACACCATCTAAATAATCGTTGCTTCCCTCTTTCTCAACATGTTTATTGCTTACATAATGTACATAGGCGGATATAACAGTGTGTATCTGCGATCACCATTAATCGTCTAAAACTTCAAAATTTAGTATAAACAAATATTTTGAAGGCTTTTCCGTGGAATTACGTACGGAAACTCAGTCGAGCACACGTCTTTGTCTCGTAGGCAACACCCGCCTTTCAATCAAAGTGTTTAAGGGGGAGAGTCTTCAAACAACTTTTATTGTTCACGTATTTATAGCTGAAAGTTTGATATCGAAAAATTCAGCTAGGCGAAACTGTTCGGAATGCTATGTGTAACTGAAACTTCTTCGAATTTCATAATACATAACTCTTACTTGTGTATACGTTTACCTATATTATACATGTACATAAGTATAATAATGTCTTAATGAAGGAAAACAAACACACTAATCTTTACATAATGGAAATCAAATTAATGTTTAAAGATCGAAATTGAATTATAGGTACTATCAACAGAATATCGTCAAATCCCGCAAACTTTTCCAGGGTCGGTAGAAGCCGAACCTCTCATGAACCATGTGGACGACCACGATGACCACAAGAGGTACATCGAAGACTACCTATGGAACGGCCAGAAGCCAGGAGTGCAGAGGTTAGTGCCCACTTAGAACCGATAATCGTGGATGGAAGTTGATTCGGTTATATCGATTTGGTTATCTAGATGATATTGTTATGATCTCTAAGAAATCTCAAAGACATTAAGGACAGTTAAATTCAGGAATTATAAATTGTAATGTTTAACAGATTATTTAGTTTTCATCTAAACTTTCACCTTCTTATCAAAAAATATCTAGTATTTTTAATAAAAACCAAATCAAATAATTTTGTACAAAGATTTAATCATTACGTCATTTGTGGTAAAATTAAAGCAATAATACAGTACATGATTGAATAATGAATAACCAACTCGATTTAACCGACCAATTTTAACTATGAAAGTTGAGCGCCTGTTTACATGGTTAAACTTGTTAACAAAACGTTGACTAGCGTGAGTTGAACTACCCACGTGCAAAGTTTGCCCATAAATATTATAGGGCCCCGTAACCAGGCGCTCAACAAAAGCTTCAGCTTAACCACACTCTCATGAAACGCTTCTCATATTTTTCTATAGTTCATATTATAAATTATGGATTGTTTCATTGTATTTTATGATATTTTTCTTTTTTAATAAAAGCATGGTTTATTTTTTATAACATTAAACACTGAACATTCAAATCAATTCAAGAAACAGTCTGTAAATTTGCAAAACTATCACAGTATCTAACGTCCTCACAAGTGCTTTGCTTCGAGCTAAAGCAGCAGCTTCTTCGCAAGTAATCTCATCAAATCTAAAGGTTGGGGTCCAAAATTATACCCTTTTCTCATTCAGACACACACAGTCTCAAATTGTCTCACACTAACACTATCACACAACCCTATCGTTATTTATTTTACAAAAATCCGTGAAATTCCGGACATCGTATCTAAATTTATGTAGATTATGTATGTATTATTAAAAATATAGTAGAACTGTAAATACTAACATTTCAAAGATAATATTTTGGATTCCATAACTTTTCAGGTGAAGATTATTAAAGTTTTTTCAAACAAAGTTACTGCTAATAGCTTCTGACTTTTTCTGTGTCTAGCTTTGTGTACTAACCCCTATCATGAAGGAAACTTCTAAATTAAATTTAATTTCACCTCTTTACACTTTTAATTCAGTAATTAATCATAGAGGAATTGTTTGACTTCATAAGATACACAACGTCCTAATTCAATATTTGATTCATTTCATCTCAAGAAAGTGTCTGCCATTTTGTACTTCTCGTGAAAATCAAATTTTGATGTTAACTTTATCTCTCGAACTTACACTTGAACACTTATTATGTCTCGAAAATTTGTAGATTCGCGCAGTAAATATTTTACAAGAGCTCTTCACAGTCCCATTGGGATGTAGTAGCTCGTATTGGGTCATTGCCCAACTTTTTTGGCAGACTGCAGGCTTTAACAGCAAAACGATGTAACTCCAGACATGATTCATTACTGGTTCCCTGGCGCCAAGCCCAATATTGGTAGTTCCCGTCCTGCCGAAGTTTCCTTCATGTGTGTTCTGCCCCTAATTCTTTTCAAACAAGTACTAACAGCAGAACAAGTCTAAATTTCGTTTTTGGTATTTGCTTACATTTCTCCTCACGGTGGCGGTGTGTAGGCCGAGTAGTTTTAGACGATACTAGTTCGGAATGACAGCTAATAGATACTTTTTAAATATCAATGTGTCCTGCACTTGTCGATGTGAACGTTCATACAGATTTTTGTTAGATTGTATGTCAATGTCTCACCCAACACTTCTATAACACTATTTTGGAATTAGTAGTCACTGGGCGGCGCCCACACGTCTGTCGGTCGACCTCTAGACTCTTCTCCGTCTGACATCCTAACTCACCATTGCGAGCTTGAAAATTATTTGAAGCATGTCTACCTTACTAACCCGGCTCGGCGCGAGCCGTTTCTTTTGCCGCATCATCATCGTAAACTCCAAGCGTCTAAGACTTAAAATGGAATTTTGCAGAAAATCGACGTTCCGTAGCGCGCTATCGGCCCTCATATCCAACGGGGAGGATCGTTCCAAAGATAATAGGAAACGTTACAAAAGCGAGTACAAAAAGAAATTTAGACCGTTCTCTCAGTACGTGTATGAGGCGTCTAAAGGGACATTTACGAAATGCAGGGGGAAAGGAAAGACGAATGAGGAGGCGAGCGAGAGGATGCTGGGGGAGAAGCAAGTGGCGGGGGGGTCGGGGGAGGGCGCGGGGGCGGGGGCGGGGGCGGCGGGGCCCGCGGGGGCGGCGGGGCCCGCGGGGGAGGACAGCGCCAGCACGCTGCGCGCCGCCGGCCTGCAGCCGCTGGGGCTCGCGCAGGGCGACTCCTGGTACCGCGAAGTCCTGGACCTGCGCAAGCGCGCCGGCGAATACAAGGTCTGCGGCCATTTACAATAGAATACCACTAAATTCCCATTAAAAGACGAGCGCCTAGCCGTATACTGAGATGTAAGGCTGAAGGAGCGAGGATACGTACGCTGTGAATACATCTCAGGATACGCCTAGAGATGTGATAGGTTTGATGCTAGTTTAGAGTTGCCAAAGAATCTGCCAGTACACTGTGAATATCTTGTGAACATAATGTTTGATGAATACAAACGAAAACACCGTTTAGACCCCCAAATATTTTTTCGTCCTGAATTAATTTGTTTTCTTACTCCTCTAATCCTTGAGCCACCATCCGAACGATCATAACAGTCGAGCTTAGTCATCATGCTTCGTCATTCTCAAAATTGCCATTATTCGACAGTACCGCGGCTGGGGAACCGAACTAGCTCCTGAACACATCACACAGCTTTACAATAAGCAAATCGAGCTCTGGTACCAAGTGTCGCGCCGGTCCTCGCTGTCAGCCCTATCACTTGCTTCCACCAATCACAAGTAAGTGATGCACCCGAGATTTATGAAGCAGGACATCCGGCTCGAAGGACCAACCAATAATTTCCACTGTAGTTCTTATATGGTCCTTTCAGCCGGACGTAATCCTGCTTAACATTATCATAAGTATAATTAGTAGCAAAAAGGCTGATGCAAAGCAAAGAATGGCTTGAATGGCAACAGAAAAGGCCATCGACATGCTAAGTAATGTAGTGTAGAGACAATCATCAGCCGTTTAGTTTTGGAATATGGAAGTTTGATGTCACATCGAGCCTTTCCATGGACACAGTAACTATAGCTAATCACAAGTCAATGAAGACAGATACAGAGACAATAATGCACAATAAATGAAATCGAACTATTCATTGGTTACTCCCATGAAGTTGCTAGTTTTATTTTTGTCGTATTATCGTCTCTATCATAAATAAAGAGATAAAATCAACTGTCTTTACAGTACCTTGCTTCTAAAGCCAAATCCAAATATTGTAAATCTGTAGCTTAAACTAATCATATGTCTTCTTCTGCAGGGCATTGCCTCGAGACGAAAAAGATGGCAAGGAGTCCAAGGGTACTTCCCCGAAGAAGTTCCGCTCGTTCCGCTCAGCGCCGCACCAGTCTATCCACGCCAAGCTGCAAGAGACGAAGGCGCTGGAGCGGTCCCCTCATAAAACCTCGCCTCAGAAGCAGAGGAAGAAGCTGCAGGGGCATAGCTTCGACGAAGGAGCTGCTCAAGACGGTGAGTAATGTGGTACTGATCATTGTCACTAGTACCTCTCATGCATTTGACATCTAAGAAATCGCTAGCAGAATGGAGGTAATTGGGTGAGTGTGTTGTAGAGCTCCATAAGCTTATAACGTCATCATCAATTCTTTCCATCTCTGAAATCTGAATACAGGCTGTGGGCCATATTATATGGCTAACTTGGCTGATAAACCTCGCCCAGTGCTTTGCACCTTTTATAATGCGCACAGGCAAAGACTAAAATTCCATAGAGCATTTATTCCTGAACTTAAAGAACTTAGAAGCTTTAAAGCACTATTAAACAGCATCAGTCACTTTCTCAAAAATGTGAAAGCTACTTAAAGCACGCTCTTCGGTCACTTAATGTTGAGGATTTGAATAGCGCTCGCCTTTTGCCAAGTCCCCATCGTAAAGTCGTAACCAGCAAGTGAACACCCCTACTATGTCACAGCACTATATTGCTCCAGCAAAATCCTCACGACTAACTAAACTGCGTTTGCCAAGCTACGATCGTCACTTTAGAACTTATGACCAGCCCAATGCTTCTTCAGCTTTGAAAGCTTCGGGAAAATCGTTACTTTTTGATTGGATCAGAAATTCACTCTCCAAATTGTATCTATCAGACAGATTGCCACAGCAGCTTCTAATCCTTTGGATTAGACTAGCTACTATTGGATTTGATCGGCCAACTTCATTCTCCAAATTGTCCCCTTCTTGCACCAGCTCCCTCCATCGCTAATACCGCTTGCAACCGGTTTCCAGGCGCCAAATCGGGCGAGAACCTATCGTTTCGGTCGCCGCGCCGCCGCCCGCGCTCCGCCGACCCTGCGCCCGCGCACGGCTCGCCGCACGCCAAGCATCTGCCCAACGGCCACGAACCTTCGCCAAGGCCCGCCAAGCCTACCGGTAAGTTGCTGTAATGTAGACGCTTCAGTAGCTGTTATAATTACGTTATTGCCCCGTGTTACGGTCTTGCCCCAATCCAGGGGCAATACCGTAACTGAGATTATTGTTATTTTTGTTTTATAACTGAATATAGTGGAAAAAATCATCATGTTAATGTCTTTTGGGATTTACATCTCTTTAATGTATCTGTATTCACAAAAAAAGTAATGTGGTAAAAGATTTTAAGTATAGATATGACACTGAACTGTATCAATAAATTATCAAGATTATAAATGAGTGTAGAATTAGATTAGCTACACGATAACTGTAGAATTTTAAATATAGATTTTTATTAAATTACTATGGTCATAGACAGTTCGTTACGTGTCGCGGGACTTCTATTTCCTAGTGAATATGAGCAAATTCAATGGGTTAAAACTGACATTTAAGCGTGCGCGTAGATATGCGTGTACCTAATTGGCTCATGAAACTCTCATCAAATCATTTGGTTAACAATAGCTCACTTCCAAATAATTTTAAAGAACATTAAATACCTACTTTATTAAATATTATTGAATTTATTTATGTTACTGAAACCATAATTTACATTATTTTGGAAGGAAATAACATGCTATAACAATTGTTTTATTATTAGATTAAAAAAATTTCTTTGTAGAAGGGAGATGAATGGAATAATACTTGACTACTTAGACTTTATGTAAAACTAGACCTTGTTACTTCATTAATTAGTTTTAAAAACCTATATACTGAAATACTTAGTTCTTCAGTAGAACTCTTGTTGAATAATTTATTGCTAATTTGATGTGTATCTTAATTGCCTTCAACTGTTAACTATCATAGTTAATGTCGTGTTCCTGCTTGATGCCTGCCCCTGACCCTGTGGATAAATTTGAGAATTGGCTCTATGTTCTAAAAACAAAACCTAATAACAGCTTTTGTTTAATCTACTTACCCTGGTAATTTCTATACATCACGTTGGGGAAATTCCAACAAACCTATGCAAAATTCGTAGCATGGGGCAAATTCGACAAATGACCTTTTTGGAATGTTAGCTAGGGAAACTTTGTTTAGTACTGTGGTTACAAAAATTGCTATCGTTTAGCCAAAATATATTACGTGCTTTACTATCTAAGGTCCTCCTACAGGATGACCTTAAATTATTATGGTACTTTAAAAGTACCAACTACGAGTGTCAGAGCCAATTTCTCAAAAGCCACGAAAAATGTTCAGTAGCCAAATTTCTTTCTGTAGGTTTGCCGTTGAGTAGAGGGGCTAGTAATAGAGTTAGGTCTACATCCCGCGGGGGGCGGTCCCCCTCCGCGCCGAGCAAAGTGGCCCCCCTTACTAACGGGGTGGTGGCCCCTGGGGCCCTGGGGGCCACCGGGGCGCCGGGCAGGGGCCGCCGCAGCCGCAGCGTCTCGAAAGTGGGAATAAAGTTGGGTGCGTACGAGTGACGTTGCGTCGACGCTCTGTGTTGCACCGTGGGAGTGTTGCTTGTTGGACGCCAATTACTGTGAACACATAAATAATCAGTCTTGTTGGTGATTTTCTTGAAATACAGTTTTGGAGAAATTGCAAATTAAATTGACTGTCATACTATAGTCTGGTCCGGGAGCACGTAGAATGTTGTCCAATGACCCCAAGATACCCATCCTTATCGCTCGCGCGTAATTATGTTACTGTCGCGCTCGCACACTCACTGCGGGCGCCCGTCGCACAGTCGCGACAGCAATATAATTACGCGCGAGCGATAAGAATGGGTAGCTTGGGGTCATTGGACAAAATTCTACGTGCTCCCGGACCAGACTTTACACTATGTAATCTGTTATTGTAACATACAACCTTCGCGAATTTTTGTAGTAACTGGCGCTCCAATAGTTGGTTGCTTTTTAAAACTTTTGTTTTATATTTTCCCTCTTTTCCAATTGGCAACATTCCTTTAATTTTGGCCTCTGGCTTTAAAATTCTGTCTTGCTTTTGTGATTTTGATTCTTCATTTGTTTATTGGTCAGTGCGTCTACGCAACCCCGTCACGTAATATCCTGGCACCGGAGGGAATGGCTTGTCACGTCACTCGCGTGTCAGTGTCACCTCACAAACGTGAGTGTCACGCCACGCGACGTGGCTGTGTTTTTTGTCCGTCCGTGTGACACCTGCACCCTTCCACTATAGATGTGAACGTTTTGTGGAGTTTCCTCATTGATGGGGATTTTTATACAATATTTTTAATTTATTCATTTCTTGACTGAAAATACTGAATGAAGCTCATTCTTGTAATATTTTAAACGAACTTACGAAGAAACTTTGAGATTTAATAGAATACTTAGTAGGAATCACAAAAGTTTTTTGATGAAAATAACTGAAAAAATAGTCACATTTCACAATAGCGCACAAATTAATAACTAAGTATAGACAAAATAGACAACTAGTAAAATTTACAATGTGTGCAATATTTATTTGTCAATGTTATAGATAGTGTGTGTATAGAATATTTCCTGTAAGTGCTCTATACTCATAGTCGTGTGAAATGGGGACATTTTGTTCAAAGTGGGGTTTGATTAATTTATCTAAAATGAAAACTATCTGGTTTTACGCGATTATAAGTATGGAGTTACAATTATGTTCCTTAGAAAATTATTTGCATGCAGTGTGTTAATTTGATGTTAGCTGAATAGCATTTAGATTATCCAATTTGTGATGGGAACGGGAGTCTTGGTTATTGTAATTTATTTCCGTAATTATTTGATCTTCCTTGACTTATATTATAAGTGTATATTTACAGGTTAAAATATATTTGTTGTCTTGTAAGTAACTTTAAAGTTTGAACTATAATGAGTTCACTTAGAACCGATTTTAAGAAATGCACCACTCATTTTTCTAGCCCTATCCTTTACGACAGCTTTTCTATCCTTACAACCAAGCATGTATGTAAAATATTATTTAAGTAATAACTAGAATATTTAAAAATTATGTAAAGACAATCACACTTTTGGATAGAATTTCTGTATTAAATTACTTAAATTTTAATCTACTTGGGATCGGCACATTTTATCGGTAAAATTGCAAAAATGTCCCCAAATTTTGACATTAGACACAAAGCAGCAATATCGATCCCATTGATTCAAATATTAGGTAACAATAAAGTTTAAAATCGTACACTTACCACAACACCCACAAAATTCCAGATGACGAGATCCCGTCTCACCGGAGCGCGTCCGTGGCCAAAGACCACTTCTTCGACGACTCCCCTGTCGTGAAATCGCCTCCCGAACCCACCAGGGTGAAGTCCCCGGAGCAGATGAATATGCGGTCCCCTGATCCCGTCAACTGGACCGTTCCCCTGGACACGGGGAAAACCTTCACAGTGACGCAAAACGTCAAGAGCGGTGAGTGCAGACTATTGAATAAGCTCGGGTATTGTAGCTAGATTAGTCGGGGCAAGTTTTCTGGTGGGGCTATATGGGATTATTTTGGGGCTATGGGGTAATTGCGGATTTTTTTAAGTGTCATTATTCTTTTACTGTAACTTTTTGAGATATTGTCAGATGTGTTCTCGGGATGTTTATTTCGTATTGAAACTAAGAATGTATTTTTAAAGTTATTATCGTAACTTATTTATTTTTTACGCGGCTATTTTAGTTAAAAAGGCATTGAAAGCGCATAAATATAATCTTCTTTAAATAAGTATTTAGTTTAATATTAAGCTTTACTTTAAGTTACTCAATAAGGTGAGGGAGTCAAAATTGTTAAATACGATAGCAAATTACAAAAGAAAAATAAGAGAAAAATGACACGAAAATCCTGTAATTATCGAGAACGATAGTACCTACTAATTATATCAGTATTTACTCAAAGGCCCACCAGAAGACTGTTGAATTATATCATAAAGTATCTTGAAAGGGTGCCTTATTCTTGACATGATGAGATTTAAACATCACTGGTGATGATTTTGGTGAAGGTTGATTGGCCAGTGTATATTTGCTTCTGTATTTAAGTTGAACAAGCACCATTTGTAAAATTAATTCTTTCTTAACTGCACCTTTTTCCAATAAAGATAAGTAATTTATTTGTAGTAAGAGTAAAACTTTTTTCTTGTGAATATTTATAGAGAAGAAAAGTAAGCCAAGTACAGTTTTATTTTTGTAGCCTACTTATTTACTTTGTGCTTTCACAAATTTTTTACAACTACCCACATTTTGTACGAGAAGTAAATCAAGTCACCATAGACAATTCTACAATCTCTACCATGCCCTGAATAAGGCTCACTTTACATGAATTAAACTGCGGTTAACTGTAAGACCATTGACTTGTTAATGTAGGAACATTTAGGGACATCCCCAAACCATCACACAGTCATGTGACGTCATCACATTACACTGCTAGAACACACATCACACTCATTCTACCATCTAGGTATTCTCAAGTGTGTATAGCAACCCTACGTAGACGGTGTAGAAGGCTTGCAACACTGACACTCGTACTACAAGTCATCAAGCGAGTTTTATATTGAGTTTACACTCATTTTTTCATTCGACACATTGTCACACACTCAAAATTTGGTTTTACTCATCACATTAATATTGATTTCATTTTGTGATTATTGTTTTATTACAGTTGTATGTCCATTAAAATGTTTAAAGACAGTAAGAATAAATTGATTCCTTTGCCTGTTTAAAAAGTCACGTTTGACATTAGATGGACATAGAACGTAACGTTCACGGTTCACGTCATCTACCATACAATTCGCTCGCCATTATTTCAGATGAAAGCGTTAAGCGCCCTAGCTCTGAGTTTAAGGGTGGGTCCATAGCCGAGGAGGGCGCCACCGTGAAGCCGGCCGCCCCGGCAGGTACGACGAACTCCGTCACCGCCTAGCTCGCCATCGGCCATACACTTTAACGAGTGTCACAGACAGTCATGCGACAGTGAACTTTAAACGCCAGACTCAAAGTCCAAATTAGAGGTCACTGCCACATAAGCACGACACACGATCGACACCAGAAAATATATAATCTGTTTTATATTATATCTATTGAATAGTTCATGATTAAATTGTGTTAATCCAATAATTGAGATGCTTTTATTTATTTTGACCGTACTCCGCTGAGGCGTCAACCACGTATGTATTCACTCGTCAGTGTGTGTGTCTGTTTCGATGTTTGCGTACACTCTCACTGTATGGCACTTGATATTATTATTGTTTCCCCATCTCATTCTCGTTCACTTTTGCATGCTGCCTGTCTCTGTCTCTCTTCGTCGGGAAGATGCTGTTTTTAACTTTTCAGACATAATGAGCCTTTACCGCCATTTTAGCGCAACTGACAAAAACCAAATTTTACAGGAGAAGGTTTTTTTTAAATATTTTTAATCAGAAGTGTGCTAATAACAAGAAAAATGACATACGTTAATGATTTTTAGAGATTTAAATATATGACTGAAAATAAAACAAAAATAATGAGTATTTATGCCATTTATGGCGCATACAATATTTTTGCTGTCACAGTCTATAGATATTCGGGCGTTTACGATAACATTACCTATCAAAATTACTATGTCCAAGAAATTATAATTGTTAAATAAATAGGCATTTTAAAAGGTTTTTAAATGAAATATCCACATAATAATCAAAAAATATTTATTCATGAGAAATTTCTTCTTGTAGGTACAAATCAATTAACACCACTTATTCAACCACTTATTGCATCTAGAGATTGCAAATATTCAATTGTTTTCTATTTCGAATATTCGAAAAATTTTTCAGTAGATATTCGAATATTATTCGAATACTTTCAAAAAATAAAAAGCACTTAAAATATCAATGTTTTTATTGCTGGTTTTATTGCTTTAAGAACTATGTTTTAACTATTTAACAATAAAGTTCTTAAAACAGTTATAAAATTCTCATCATCATCATAATTTCAGCCATAGGACTTCCACTGCTGAACATACGCCTCCCCCAATGACTTTCACAATGACCGGTTGGCACCGGCCTGTATCCAGCGCTTTACCTTTTTCTCAAAATTTGATCTTCCTAGCCGAATCGTTTGTCAGAGGTAAACATACTTGTCAACAGTCAACAGTCTCGAGAATCGAGTTCTAACCGAAACATGGACGTTGGACAAGCTTCGTTTTGTCCATTATCATCCGAAGGCCTACCTGTTGGGAGACTCGATTAAAGTCTTCGAGCATTGTGCCAAGGTCTTCAAGCGATTCTGCCATGACCACAATATCGTCAGCAAACCGCAGCTGAGTGATGTATTTGCCATTAATAGGTATTTATGCCGAATACTTTCCATTCAAGGAGCTTGAAAGCGTCTTCCAATTCAGAGGTCAACGGTTTCGGAGATATAACATCTCCCTACCTCACGCCTCGCCGCAGAGGAATCACCCTTGTGCTTTGCTCCTGTACTCGGACCGACATGGTAGCGTTTCTGTACAGGCATTTCAGCACTTCGATATACCAATAGTCTGAGAGACTGCAGCACTGCTTAAGTCTCGATCGAATCAAAGGCCTTCTCATAGTCCAAGAAGAGCACCACCACGCTTCTATCCCATGCCTCTAGCGTTGTTCCCTGAAGTAAGACGGAGTTAAAGAGTCTCTGAACGAGTTTCGGTGTTCCACCTGCGTTCAAAAGCTCCGAGGTTATGCCGTCATCACCTGGTGCCTTGTTGTTCTTTAGCTGTTTGAGAGCCTTCCTAATCTCGTGATGTCTGATATACGGGATATATACGGGATGATATACGGGATGTCTTTGGTATAGTGTCGCGTTAACCTATCTCTTGCGTCTGTTGCTGAGCTATTAATAGGTTGGGAGGTATATAGCTGTCCATAGATCTTTTCGATCTCACCCAGAACCTCGGCTTTTGTTGACGTTACCGTCCTCCGTCTTCAGCATCGTCAGCTGACTTTGATCAATAGAGTTGTCTCTTTCAAGTTATTTGGAACCTTGGTTTCGCTCTATCGCCTCTTTTATACTATGTGTATCAAAGTAGCGAAAGAAACACAACTACGTAAAAATGAACAGAAAAGGTAGAAACAAGACAACTTAGTGTTCACAAATGCAGTCGGTAACATCAATGACTAGTTTTTTTAGTTGGTGATATGTATTTGATGCTTCCGACTGCATTTGCAAACACTAAGTCGTCTTTTTTCTATCTTTTCTGTTTATTTTTGTAATATTTGAATATTCGAATACATGTTAATTTACTATTCGAATACTAATTTGAAATTAAAAATTCGAATATTCGATTGCAATCTCTAATTTCATCAGAACTTGAAGCGCTAATGTCGCTTGCGATAACAAGTGCGGTCGCTTGCGATAAAATGCATGTGTCGCTTACGTTAAGTTTTAGAAAAAATGTGTATTCACGATAATTTTAGCACTTGCTGTAACTTTGTAACGGTTTTTTTTTGGCGGGAAACACCAACAGGGATGGGTCCGTTACGGTTTAAAATACTAGAATCGATAAAAAACGGTTTTTTGACAAAAGTGTCGCTTACGATAATTTGGCGGTAAAGGCTCGATATTATGCAAGCTTGGTGTTACAACGGCTTTATCAGATACTAAGATTTATAATAATTCACTTAAATAACCTTTACTCAAGTATTCATAAAGTAACTGTTTTGTCATAAAACTTTTTCACGTCTACATATCAGCTTAACATTCATAGATGTAATGGTAATGTCTACAGGATACGACAGTGTAAAAATAATTATCATATGAATTCACTTTCGCATAACTATGCTGTTTAACTAACGTACGTATTTTGAGCTTCTCTCATCTTCAGATTATCATATAATAGCATCTTGTCGATCGATATGTAATCCTTCCTAATTAGGTAACTAGTGTCCTTTAAATTACTTTCTCATGAAACCATTTAACCATGTTCCATGCTAATTTGGCCCTAAATGTGTAAACTCATTTCAAGAGATAGATTGCATGATCCCTAGGTATCTGATACAGGACGGTGATGAATAAATTCGCTTTGATGTTTATGTAAAACGATTAACTTGAGTTTGGGCTAAAGAACACCTGGATATTACGAGTATTACAGAATTATATAAATCACAAATAATTATAAAGTGTTTAACAAATAGCCACAAACACAAGTTACTTTACTAAAAGCATGATTTAATGTTAAAATTAGAAGGTAGCATGTATCAGTGAAAATAAAAAAAATCATTACCTAATGAAATACATAATAATGTTAAATAATTAGTATATTATGCAGCGATTAGCTCTTTTTCTTCGTGTAAATAGTGCATAATATCTTTAGATTTTCATTACTTGTTATTAGACAATAAATATTTTATTGTACATAATAGTGAAATCGAAATTAATTATAAAAATCAACATCATTAATTCCAAAGTAAGTACTAAATAAAATACAATAAATTAATGTCGAAACCACCTAAGTGATTAAGAATAAATAAATAACTGGCATAAAAAAAACGGCCAATTCAAAATAGATTATTAGAATTAGACCCTGTTGCTTGGGCTTTAAACCCATTTCAAAATAGTTGAAATATAAGTGTTAATTAGTATATTTTTCTGTGCTTTGTTGGTGTCTTCCAATGGGATTTTCAAATTCTCTCCTGTCTAATATTTCTATCTTCAAAAACTGTTTCAAATCTTTGTATTTTTCACTGTAAATAAAATTGGGGATGGAATTTGAAACTCTCAGTCGTGCACGTTAAAATATTCGACTCAAAATCGAAAACGCTTTTCCAGAAATCGCGCCAATCCACCACCAACAAATGTCTCCGATTCGCTCTTTGAAAAAGAGCGAGTCCCCGACCAGCCTGAGCAAGCGCACGGACAAGACTCCCACCACGCCCATCAGCCTCACTCCCATCGACGAGACCAAGGCTTTGGACATGAACAACGTTAACGGACTCAATGGCCTCAACGGGATCAACGGCACCAACGGAATTAACGGCAGCAACCAAATCACACCTGAAACGCCAACCCAAGAGCCGTTGAAGGAAAAAGAAGTCATCAAAAAGTCGACTGAAGCGACCCAAGTCGCACCGGGAGTGGTCGACACGACTGTGGTGAACGAGTCCACCGGTGGGCTGACGGCCTCCGAGGTGCTGGACCGCGCTCGCACGAGATTCGACAAGTTCTGGGGCAAAAAGGAAGAAGACAACGTTTAGTCCAACCAAGTTTCACGCTTTTCACTGTAACCTGTGATTTTGAGATTTTTGTTAACTTCCAAAATGATTCTCCACCATTGAAATCAAATTCTAATTCACATTAATATTTTCGCATTCAAAATCACAATTACAGTGCGAAAGACGAAACTTATTAAAGAAAAGTAGGAAAATTAAAAGCGCGGTGTTTAACTGACAAAAATAAGAAAAAACCGGCCAAGTGCGAGTCGGGCTCGCGCACAAAGGGTTCCGTAGCAGCAAATATAACCAAAATTACAGTTAAATCAACCTATCTCAAAAACTATAAGAGATACTTTGATCAAACCAAAAATCGTTGAAAGAGTTAATTAGCATGCATCACCTCTATTTTTTTTAGAATTTTATACCCCGTAGTTATAAAAATAGAGGGGGGGGGACATACTTTTTACGACTTTGAGAGCTGATATCTCAAAAACCGTTCACTTTAAGAAAAATGTTTTTTAGAAAACTTTATATCATTTTAAAAGACCTTTCCATTGATACCCCACACGGGTATGTACATCGAAAAAAAATTTTCATCCCTCAGTTACATGTATGGGGGGCCCCACCCCCAATTCTTTTTTTTACTATTTAGTGTCATAATTTTGTAGCGGTTCATACAACACATATTCCCATCAAATTTCATCACTGTAGTACTTATAGTTTCCGAGTAAATCGGCTGTGACAGACGGACAGACGGACAGACGGACAGACGGACAGACGGACAGACGGACAGACGGACAGACGGACATGACGAAACTATAAGGGTTCCGTTTTTGCCATTTTGGCTACGGAACCCTAAAAAGCTTCGCTTTATAACGACGACTGTAATGTGTATTTATTAATTTATTAGGTATTTTATTAATACGATCACTATCTATTTAATAGGAGTGTGGTGGCTTGTGATAGTAGTATGATGATTGGTGAATAGGAAAAATAAAAAGGATCCATTAATAACCTCTGAATGGTACAGAAGTAGATTCCTCTCTTCGATTGTCCTTGGATCCTAAAGTTCTCTTGTTAATTTAACTACTTATCTTAATGTAATTTCTATTAACTGGAACTTATTATCATCTTAGCTACTCATCTGCTATTTAAAACAGGACTGACACGAAAATCAACAGAAAATGAATGATGCAAAGACTGGAATGTAGTAGTCATTAGATTTATCTACAATAATTCAAGGAAATAAATTTTAGCTTGAAATTAACTAAAAAAAGTATTTGAAAAGAATTATTGAATTTCGTGATAGATCTGTAAAAATAAATTTTAAATTGAAATACACAATTTACATTCTATGGCCACGTGACATTTGCGTTCAAAACATGACGTAAATTATTTTGGATGGTATTAGATTAATAACAAAAATAAATGAAATATAAAACTACTCCCTTAATAAAAATACTTAGCAACTGATAAAACCTACAAGGGCAATTGTATACACACAACTAAACCGTCCAACGTAGTATTTTTTGGCAAGTCATGTTTTCTTGGCTATTTATTCCAAAGTGTAGATTGTATTTCTGAACGTACATTTTTGATATTAACCAATCCAAGCAAAGCGTCAGAATGACGTTTAAGGCCTAATTCACACGAGAGCTTTTTTAACGTCCGTTAAAAAAGCGTTCAAATAGAACATAATATGCATACCCAAGCCTATTCCCAACGCTCTGCGTTGAAAATGCAACACTGCTCGATAAAAAAGCGTCGCGTTTTAAAAGCGCCGACGTGTGAACACGTACTTGGGTATNAACATAATATGCATACCCAAGCCTATTCCCAACGCTCTGCGTTGAAAATGCAACACTGCTCGATAAAAAAGCGTCGCGTTTTAAAAGCGCCGACGTGTGAACACGTACTTGGGTATGCATATGTTCTATTTGAACGCTTTTTTAACGGACGTTAAAAAAGCTCTCGTGTGAATTAGGCCTAAATAGCAACCAATCATAGAAGTTTAGCATTTTTGGCGGCATAATCATTTTAGTTTGCTCATCGCAAAAATTTTTGGAGTTTACTTTTTCATTGATATTATAAATTGAGTCTCATAATATTTTTATAAGTATAAATATGGAAATATCACGCAAATCCTGCCGTCTCTGTCTATCTGAAACCGAATTCAATGTTTCATTGTTTGGAAATTACTGTCGTAGAACGAATATGATCGAGAAGATCCTTGTTTGCTTGAAGTTGGTTATCGAAGATAGCGATACGTTGGACACAATTTGCTACAAATGCGCCGAAAGCGTCGAGAGGTATTACGATTTTGTCGCTCGCGTAAAGAAATGCCAGACGCGGTACAAAGACACCTGCCACGAGCATGAGCCACGGCAGCGCAGCATGGAGCTCTCTCCGACTCATGTCAAGCGACACGTGACGTCCTACGTGAGAGAGCAAGTTTACGACGCGGATTACACGTTTTCATTCCTTGAAATGCCGAACAACGACGAAAAGAAAGAGTCTAAGGTATCTAGTCCGTTCTTTTCTTATTTCTCCCCGCCGAACGTGCTGGCGAAGCAGCCTTGCGTCGAGCCGATGTGGAAGACGCCTAAGCCCCGCGAGAGCTCCCCAAAGAAGGAATTATTGAACGAAAATAGGTATAAAAGACCGTACAAACCTGAGAAAAGGTCGCGGCACCACTCCAGAGACCTCTTCGAGTCTCAGTCGCAGGACGTGGAGGAGCCCGAACCCAAGTCCCTCGACTGGAAACTGACCCCCGACGACAACCTAATCAAACGAGTCAGGGAAAAATGCTTTGGACGGTCCGATTTCTAACATTATTTCAATGTGATTATATTATTTATTTACAATAAGTAATAATAATGATGTTACATTACGTTGTAAGATTAATTTATTCAATGTTATTGTGTAATAATTTAAATATTGATGTTCGTGTAATTTCTATGGAATTCTGTAGGAACAGGGTACTTAGAGAAATTGGTTTGTAAATCATTTTTGATGCAGTAGGTCTTCATAGGACGCCCGTTGTGTATGCTGACGGTGATACATTACTGAATTGAACTAATTGTATGTTATTGTTAAGAATATGCCTGCGAATGTTTTGTTTTGTTTGTAATTTGTATTTAAAGTCTAGTCTACGTTTTTTTAATGTCAAAGTCCATCTTAACATCCTTCCATCAACTTAAGTTTCTCTATTTTCAAATAAAGACGATGTTATTTTTTAAAAGCTTTTAATATTAATTGTAATAGAACTAGTTAATGTACTCTGAGTACGTTATTTAATTAAATAAAGTGTGTATTGTCATAAGGAAGGTCATGAATGAATATAATTTAATTGTTTGGACTTATCCGCCGTTCAAATTATTCGTCAGGCGCTAAAAAGTTCTGGTTTGTTAATGTTACGATATTTTATTAATAATTTTATTTTTGGGAAAGATCTTATGCGTTTAAAAATAATTTGTGTGTTTACACATGAAAATAGCACTGGTTTAATTTTAAATAAGTTCCTATTTTGAATATTGTTTTTTTGCGCACAAAACATGTGAATTTGTTTTCGATAAGTAACAAGCCCTGCCCGAATAAAAATAATTTAGATATAGACTCCTCCATAGCTGGTAATTATGGAATTATAGCTTTGCTACGGGTTTATAATAGCGTGTGTTAATTTTCAGTTGTTATATCAAATGAACACCTAAATAAACTTTTAAAAATGATTTTGTTTCATTCCTCTTTTCGTGAGAATGGTGAAATGCACAAACGCAAATATTGTAAATACTAAATACTGGTAGGACCACTGAAAGGTACTTTTCTATGGCTCTAAGTTTAATAAAAGTTATTAATAAAAGTTACACCCTAGTTGAACTTTGGCTTAAGTTATCATTTAGTATGGAAATGAATTTTTAATCCAGAGTTCATCCTAGGTGTAAATATTTATTAATAACACCTTATTCCCCGATAGAGATTATCTTAATTATCAATAGTTTTTAATACAAATAAAACAAAATATAAGAACGGTTAATTCATGACTTTATTTCATATCCGTATCAATTCATACACATAATATTACTCTAGAGAAAATATTCCCTCGCTCACTATAGACACTATTTATAAATCACATTTAACATTTTAAACACTAAGTTATTTCTGCAGTTTAATTATGGCGGTCTACATAATATGTATGTGAACATCGAGATGGAGAGTTAATACTACGCTAGGGACACACGAGCGGGCTAACCTTACAGAGATGCTCGCCTACCCCCATTCTGAGCGTTAGGGCAGCCGTAAGCATTTGCAAGAAAATACAACCCATTAGATCTCTCGGCTTTCACTAAGCATCTAGAATTTGTTTATTGCAAGTGAGTACAAGACCTAACGCTCAGGGCACGAGCAAAACATTGAGTAACGATTACTCCTGGTCAGTAAATAGCGAAATTATCGAATAAATACACATTTAAACAATTTAGCAATGGTCCCAAAACAATTTCATTTACTCCAATGCTAAAAATCCATTGTATCGTACTCCTGCATTTTCAAATAGCGCTAGTACGTCATGAAATAATATTTATAGGGTACGTCGATATTACCCTGTGATACCATGCGTACAAAACAAAACCTCAACTTAATATATTCTTAATTTACAATTAATTAATGAGTATTGCTTGAATACAATATTTTTCTAATTTAAAAAATAGTGGAACAAGCTTAATTTGACGTAGATAACATTGGTTTTTATATACCTGACCAGAATATAGAAAATTTGTTAATCTAAGTGCAGATTACAGTTGTTATATACCTTCAAAGTTGTGAAACTTTAATACATAATATAAAATAATTTTAAAATGGAAAATAGATCACTTATCTACTCTTGCGCCAAGACAAGAAACACAAGTAACCTATTTTATTGTTAAATATACAAGTACAACCTTTGTATACAATAGTGTACTATATTATAAAGGGACAATATTATGCGAATATTCTTCTATTTCTATCAAGTTGGAATGTTTGATGATTGGGATTAAAATAAATGTTATAATTAAATTGTTGTTAGCAAATAAAGTAAACAACATAACAAATAAACAGTTTGGGAAGACATTTCATGTGAGCCTCCGTTGTTAAATATGAAGAAATGAAATTATTGGGGTAAAAATGTCAAGATTTTATGTTAATTATTTAAATCAAGTACTTCTATGATAAGTACTTGTTTCAAGAAGGCTCAACTATGGCACTGCATTAATTATTTTAATTGAAAATTATTTAGCTCCAAGTTTCTATTATTATGTTTTTCGAATTGCAATTGATTAAAATCAAGTTTATTTCAAAGCAACAGTCAGTCAAACGTTTTTCTTTTTAATGTTTTGTTTGAAGAATCTGAAGTTAAACCATTGCCCAGCCAAACTTCACATATACAAGAGAAAAAAATAAGAATATACAATAAAAACACAATAATAATAAGTGGGAAAACAGCAAAAACAAACAGTCAAAAAGAAAACGTTAAAAGCTAAGTGTTTCTATGATTAAAAACATTAACATATTAAAAAAACACTACCAAGCTTTAAAAATATATCACAATACGACCCTATCGGCTATAGATTTTTTTTTACAAAAAACACTAACTCCGAAAAGATTAAAGACTAAAATGAGATTAATAATAAAAAAGAGATACGTTGATTTTGATTGATTTCACTAGATTCTGTTTGAGATGTTTGCACATTGAACAATACGGTATACTTTCGGATTAACGAAATAAAGTAAATTACAGATGTAAAGACACTTTAAATTGACTACCTTATTCGTTAAACTGAAAATTCGGCATGCAGATATTATCAAGTCCGTGTGAACACCCCAAACAGAACAATTACGACAAAATGTTCAACGCATCACAATAAATCGCATAAATAAATCTTTTTAAAACCATGTACGCAACAATTCCTTGTTTTTAAACTAACAAAATACTAATTTATGTGCCTCAATATTGTAATACTGAAAACGCGAATTCAAACCGAAAGAGGGAGGCTAGGAAACGTTTAGTCGTCCTTATTTATTTATTTATAACGAGACTAAAGCTATACACAGTCTAGGAAAAGCTTACAGCGAGATTTTTTTTACATTTTACGTTTAAAGTCTATGTTGATTCCACATCTTGTACATTTGGTTGGTTCGCTTTATAAATAATATTTTTGTACTTTTTCTTTGCTTGATATTCGGTGTACAGGTTAGTGATCTCACTTTATTTATTAGCTGTTGTCTTTCATCATTTTGACTAAGGCGATTATCACACTGCACCGCGCTCCGCCGCGGTCCGCGTGGCTACATATTATTATAAAGAATCCCGCGCGCAGATGCGTTGTCAGTGTGTTGTGCCGCGCGTGTTTTCTATACAAACTGAGGTACTTGCATACAATGATTCAATCTGTCGTCCCGCGTACCGCGGCGGAGCGCGGTGCAGTGTGATAATCGCCTAAGTAACGATCTACAACGTCAACTGAAGAAGTAGACTCGAGGCAACAGTGCTGTACTGTACAAAAAATCGTCTCTTGCGAGATTTATGTGCAAAATTCATATCAAAAATGATTATATGGACAATATGGACAATGCTAAAAGCTGGATCCGAACAAAACTGTACATAACTAATGCCGAATATAATATACAAGATATAGAATCAACTAGAAATGTTTTAATTTACTCAACACAACACCGAACACCGAATGATATTCCATAATGGATACACCTTAATCTAAGAAATACAGTTGTAGACATCAGACAAAATATATCGTATTCATTCATTCGTCTCACTAGATTGTATACCTGTCTCTTTCTCTGAACACTTCACCATTAACACCATACATTTAAAGTCGAAATTCCATCAACATTAAGTTTTAAATAAGTACATTATTATAACCATTCAAAACGCAGGGATTTAGTCGTTCAAAAGCGTTTAAATATTCGCTAAAATTATTAAATTGGTGAAGTTATGAAACTCTTAAACTACCACAAAAACTCTTCAAGCAATATTTACATACATCCATAAAATTTTCAAAGTTAATTATAAAATACGACAAATCACTTTTAAAAGTATTTGAATACAAATTCAAATTTATAAACCTATCCCCACGTTTCCTTTCCTTTAAAAGCGCAAAGCTTAATCTACGACATTCTAATTTCACATCGAAAACTACACATTTATCTGTCTTCAAAAATCTGAACAAGAATATATTTTTCTCAATACATTCGTAAGGACGAGTGTCCTAAACACCTTACATTCGAATGAACAAAATGTTACTCTATATCAAGAGGAATAACGTGGTTTTTGGTGTGACAAATCTAAGACACGAAATGATGGTAAACATGTCGGTTAGCAAGATTAATTCGATTATGATTATATTGAGAAAATTGCAAGTCTGTTCCCTTCGTAGGTGTAAGTTTTAGAGTTGGTGTTATATTCTGAACCTTATTGAATCGTGTTGAGGTCGAAAATCGCTTACTTCTCGCCCGAGGAGGAGCTGGATGCGCGGCCACGCCCCTTCTTTCCTTTTTTGTCGTCTACTTCTGGTTTTTCCGACTTTTCCGCCACTACTTCTGGCGGTTTCGGCGGCTGTTGTGGAGGGGGATTGTTGTTCTGTAAGGAAAAGTTTACTTTAGTAACGCCAATAAGTAGTTATTTTAAGATACACAGATACAGTAAGTTACAGTTGGGTCAAAAGCCGATTTGTGGGTGAACGCATACGCTACGTTTTCCGGTATGTGGCCTCCACTCCAGAACCTTGCTGCCCCATCAGTCGTCAGTTTTGCGTACTATGTGCCCTGCCCATTTCCACTTCAGTTTGCTAATCCGTCGGGCTATGTCAGCGACTTTAGTTCGTTTACAGATCTCCTCATTTCTGATTCGTAAAGAAACCCCGAGCATAGTCCTCTTCACAACACGCTGTGCAACTTTGAGCTTCTTTATGGCTGGTTTTAGAATTACGCTGACGCACTCTGACCGTCAGCGCTGACAGCCGAAATGTATGAAGCGTCTGCGCGAGCGATCAGCGTCACTCAGGAACGTTCCCTTTAATTACATATGTGGTGTGCAATAAAGAGTATTTATTATTATTATGTTTGTACGCTTTGGAGCTCACGGGTCAAAAGTGGCCCGGTCCTTTATAAGGCTTGCGTGGGGATACAGATCCAACACATTATTATTATTATTATTACATACATTTTGATTTGTCAGCGCCGACAATCAGCGAGCGGTCAGCGCGATTCTAAAACCAGCCTTAGGCCTATTATTATTACCGTGCCTATAGTGAGAGGCCACGTTTCGTTTTCTGTCTCTACTTACTTGCTATTTAACCCCCAATCACTCTTTATTTAACCCTTAACTTACCCGCTTCTTAGGCTTGTCCTTGGCGCGCGGGCGCTCGTCGTCGTCCCTGGTCGTCTTGCGGCTCATCACACCCAGTAACTTGCTGACCATGCTGCTGTTGCGGCGGGTGTCGCCCGCTGTATGAGCTAGCACTCACTTGCTATAAGCTAACACTCGCCTGCTGTATGAGCCAGCACTCACCCACTTCTTAGAGTTATGTTGACTCGCTGTATAAAGTGCGGTCGCCGAGCAGATAGAATTTCGTCCAATGACCCCAAGATACCCATCCTCGCACGCATTATATCGCTGTCGGGACTGTGCGACGGGCAGCCGCAGTGAGTGTGCGAGCGCGACAGCAATATAATTACACGTGATAAGGATGGGTAGCTTGGGGTCATTGGACAAAATTTTACCTGCTCGGTGGACGGACTTTGGCAAGAACTCACCTGTTTTAAGACTTATTCTCACCAGCTGTTTAGGCTTGTATTCTCTCCCTATTAGGCTAACTCTTACCCACCATTCAGGCGTGCACTGACCCGTTTCTTATGCTTATACTCACCTGCTGTATAAGCTAGAACTCACCTACTGTTTTAAGACTTATTCTCACCAGCTGTTTAGGCTTGTATTCTCTCCTAGACTCTCATACCATCCAGGCTTAACTCACCCGCTTCTTCGGCTTGTCCTTGGCGCGCGGGCGCTCGTCGTCGTCCCTGGTCGTCTTGCGGCCCATCACGCCGAGCAGCTTGCTGACCATGCTGCTGTTACGCCGGGTGTCGCCCGCTGTATAAGCTAGCACTCACTTGCTATATGCTAGCACTCGCCTGCTGTATGAGCCAGCACTCACCCACTTCTTAGACTTATACTCATTCGCTGTTTCAAATCCGGTCGCCGAGCAGATAGAATTTCGTCCAATGACCCCAAGCTACCCATCCTTATCACTCGCACGCATTATATCGCTGTCGGGACTGTGCGATGGGCGGCCGCAGTGAGTGTGCGAGCGCGACAGCAATATAATTACACGTGATAAGGATGGGTAGCTTGGGGTCATTGGGACGAAATTCTATCTGCTCGGCGGTCGGACTTTAGGCTACAACTTACCTACTGTTTTTAGACTTATTGTCACCTGCTGTTTAGGTTTAACTCACCCGCTTCTTAGGCTTGTCCTTGGCGCGCGGGCGCTCGTCATCGTCCCTGGTCGTCTTGCGGCCCATAACACCCAGTAACTTGCTGACCATGCTGCTGTTGCGGCGGGTGTCTCCCTCTGCTGCCTCAGGGGACTACGGAATGGGACAAAACGTTATAATCTATGCAATAGGGATATTTCCTGGCGCCAAAGTTCGAAAGAAGAGGCCGTGACGTCAAGGAGTGCTTAAAAGTGTAGCACTTTGTGACGTCACATGGAACTTATGAAATATTGTGAGCCTTGAGACCTAATGGCAATAATCTATCACCTGTGCAACAGTTTGGTCACCAATGAAACCCAACCAGTGAAGGTTGAGTACTCCCAGGAACCCACAACGAGGGAGACAGAAGACTGAAGAACACGGTATTAAATCTTCTAATAGAGGATTTCTGGTATTTACTACTTCAACCTACAGATAAATTGACAACTCTGGCAGTTTTTAAATGAAAATTAAAACCAGAATGGTGGTGATATTCATATTTGAATACGATTTTTTTACAGTATGTAGCTGTGTTGAATGTTGAGTCAACTCAAGTTTGAAATGTTACGTTCACTGTAGAAATTTTACTTAGTTACTCATGTCTAATTTATTTTCGATTAATAGGAGACCTCCTTCATTGCTTACCTTATTCGCATCCACCGAGTCCTGCCGCTTCAGCTCGATCTTTTTGACGGACTCCGACCGCTTCGCTTCCATTTTCTCTTGCTTCTTCTCCGCTCTTTCTTGCTTCTCTTGCTTCTTAGCTTCTGCTTTCTCTTGCTTCTCATTTCTTTTGACCGAACCGACCCTCTCCATGACTTTATCCGGCTTTTTCTCTTCAACTTTGACTTCGGGTATGACTTTTTCGATTTTCTCTTCTATTCTCGGCTCTGGTTTTTCGATTTTCTTTACGGAGTCTTGTTTCTTCAACTCTGGTTTGTCTTTCTTCTTGTCTTTAGGTTTTAGGTCTTCATCTTTGAGGCTGGTGTCGGACTTCTTCCTTGTTTTTGGTGGTTCAGCCGCGGGGATCGGTGGAGGAGGCTCGGATTGTGGTTTCTTGCTCTTGCTTTGCTCTTCCACTATCACGTTCAGCTCCGAGCTTGTTCGGCTGTCGTCTGAAATTGAAACTCAAATATAATTTCAAGTCGTAAATGGTAAATATATGACTCTGGGTATAATTTCTCTATTCTATCTCCCTATCGGGAATAGAATTCACGAAACAGAAAAACGCCAAAGGTATGTAGAATGATTTGATTGAACATATTTAGAAGAATTTCACAAAATAAATGCATAATTCAGAAAAACGTTCAATAAGCGAACCCTGTATAAATAACTAAGCAAAAATTACACTGCGCTTACACATTGTGTTGTTGTTATTGGTATTCTAAATAAAATAAGTAGGGTAAACCGTATAGCTATTGCCCACTTAAAGATTTCAAACACATTGAGATGAAAAATTAAAGAAAGTATTTTAATTATCGACCATTTATGACTTTTTTCTTATAACTCAATAAACTGTTAAACAGAATATTAACAGTTTTTAGTTAAAACTTACGTAACTTAGAAAATATTGAAATAAATTTAAAATCCTCCAAAAAGTACAGTCATTGCCCATTACTTACACTAATTGCCCACATCAAAGCACAGTAATTGCCCAGTATCTTAAAACAAAATAATCAATTTTAAAATGACAAAATAGGCTTTAAATAAACAAAACATCCTTACAATTAACATTTTCACTAGTAGATTTAACGTAGGTTTTTCATTTTTTGTATTTGCGTTTGAATTTTTATAATTTTTTTAAAGCCAAACCATATTTTTCAGCAATTTATCTTGTAGATAAATTGTTGGATACATCTTGTACAGCTTCGATCGCTTTTTGCAAATTTTCTATGCTATATTGAACTTTTGGAGTCTTTGGCATACTGAAAATGAAACATTAAAAGCCATTTCAATATTTATTATGCCTGTAAATTGCAAAACAAGTCTAGCAATGAGCAACTTAAACACTGCTACTGCACGGTGGCAACACTCTAATAATAATTGCCCTGGGCAATAACTATACATTAACATATGGCAATAACTGAAGTGATGGTGGGCAATAACTAAAAATATACAGATTTACGTGCAGTGATTACCCACCGTTAAAATGACCGTTAGAAATCAAATTTTATCAGTTATTTTCATTGATAATGAAGAAAAAACTTATAATTTCATCATGACTATACACCATTAGTTGAATATTAAATAACTTGGAAAAAAAATTAACCTCTAAGCAAGTAATTCCTTAGTAAAATTGTTAAAGTCTTTACCTGTTTGAGTAACATTTTCACCCGTCTTGACAAAATCCGCCATAACTGTTTTTTTTAGTGTTTCCTGTTGTAAATTTTAAATCTACTGTACATTAATCACGGAGCCATCTACTTAGTAAATTCAAATCTAACTAGAGTGATTCAAAGTCAGCACCTGACAATATTATTCTTAAAGCGGGCAATCACTACCAGTGGGCAATAACTCTCTGGTTTACCCTATGTAAGTTATGATCATGAATATTCAAAAGATGAGTATAAACTAGAGCATTTCTATAGTCTGGTCCGCGAGCACGTAGAATTTTGTCGCGCTCGCACACTCACTGCGGGCGCCCGTCGCACAGTCGCGACAGCAATATAATTACACGCGAGCGATAAGGATGGATAGCTTGGGGTCATTGGACAAACTTCTACGTGCTCACGGACCAGGCTTTATGTAAGCTAAGGTTCTTACGAATGGTACAATACAGGTTAAATGTACGACATGTGGTCCGTGAAATGGTGACACTGACACTAAAACACACACTTTCATAGAGCGGCTCCTTGTTCTATTACAAGTAAATGCTTAGTTTATACTCACCAAAATGTTCACAAAACGATCAGAATAGATTAATTTTGTTTCTTACCAAACTTGTTAAGCTCCCGCGAGGTATCCAACGCGGACAGGTCGGACGAGTCGTGCGCAAACGACTCGTCGGACAGCGATAGCGAAGCGAATGACGCGGACGTATCGAAAGTCTTGTCTAGGCTCGTCTTGGGGGACGACGTGAATATGTTCGGCGTCGTCTGCTGCTTCGCTGGTGTTCTGTACAGTAGACAGTTTAAGATGTTTTACACAACAATAAAATACGTGAAATGGATAGGTGATTTAAATAGACATGGACACATTAAATTCAAATAGGTATACGTCTCATACGGGACTATTCCCACCTCTCGTTCAACAACGTACAACTCCTGTGTAGCCAGGATCTACAGCTTGACCGCCAATAAAAACCCAACCAGTGAAGGTCAAGTTTGTCCCGGGGGAAAGTTAAACTGTCATTGGACCAGCAACGAAATTAATCAGAAGAACATAGGAGTAAGTACGCATAATACGTGATAAAATAACAGGCCCCTTGCCAAGATTGATTGATGACGGCCTTTTCTGTGCCTGGCAATGCTTTATGTAATTATTTTTAAGTTTATTCTTTTGCAGGATTAAAATGAAAGAGCATCGAGTATGTTGGAAATCGAAAGGATGAATAGGTGTGGTAGGTCCAACCGACTTTCACGTCAGACAATGACTCTATCTTTCTTGAATTAATTAGTTTTCTGAATACATTTTGACGCTTTACGGGTGGAAATGATAATCGAGTGAAATCACTTATCGTTTTCACTCTGTATTATTAGTGCTACGCCATTTTTTATTTTATTTTATTTAAGAAAACATACAGCTTATTATTACTGCCATTACTCACCTATTGGGCAAGTTCTTCGCATGGTGCGTAGGCGAGTCCTTCTCCTCAGCTATCCTCGGCAGCGGAGGCTCGTCCTGTTTGTCCGCGGGGGGCGGGGTGGGCGGCGCGGGCGCGGGGGCCCTCCACACGACCCCCCGGCGGCCCCCCGACACGGCGACCCCCGCCACCGCCACGGGGCCCACGGCGACTGACACGTTGACCCCCCCGCAGCAGAGAGGCGAGATCGAGCATTTGGATTCGGCTGAGCGCGGGTGGAGTCTAATGGAAAAATGTTGTTATTATTATTTTGTGTCACAGGTTTCTTTGAAACCTACTTCAGGCACCAGTCTCTCACAAGTGATAGGAATTAAGCGAAGACTACTAGTTTAAGACCTTGTATTTAAATACGCATGTTTCTTACTTTGTGAAGAGATAAATAAACTACTTATTTATTATATTAATTATTTATTATTTTGTTTGTTCTCATGCGAAGAAGATCGGCAAGACTTGGAGCGAGATCAAACGCGAGGCTCAAGACCGAACGCGATGGAGCACTGTTGTGGACGCCCTCTGTCCCATCTAGGGGACATAGGACCATAAGTCAAAATAAGTCATGCTGTAAAGGCCTCGATATAGTTCTAGCTTTTAACTCACTCAGTGCCTGAGGAATGGGAGCGGCACGGGAGGGTGGTTTTGTAACGTCAATCGTTCAGATTTATGTGCCAGAACATAGACATGACAGATCACGTCATAATATGTCAATGTCACCCCTCCCGTGCCGCTCCCATACCTCAGGCACTGACTGAGTTAAGTGCTAGACCTATACAGGGTGTTAGGTAAATGGGTATATGAGCCGACACTAGCCCATGTTAACATGGGCATATAAATGGTATGGTGAAGTCAGAAAATTGATATCATCATTTTATTTTTTTAAATTTTCATACAAAATTAATTTAATAAAATCCGTTTTGTATGAAAAATAAAATAATTAAAATGAAGATATCAATTTTCTGACTTCACCATACCATTTATATGACCATGTTAACATGGGCTAGTGTCGGCTCATATACCCATTTACCTAACACCCTGTAGATACATATAAATTGCCACGTAAATAGCATGTCACAATAAATAAACAGATAAATTCTAACGAGTAGGTAACAGTGTGACTTTAAGGGATTTTTTCCCAAAGAGTCACAGTCACACAATGTGTTACACGTTACAGTGTGACTGGTTGGGGACAAGCATTTGTGTCTGGCTAGGCTAAACTACATTTAGCGGGCAATATTAACCACCTGTTTGATGCTGTTACATAAAATAAAAATGTGTTTATAAAGAACATGATACTGATTTTTTTTTCATGAGACATAATAATGAAATCCCAACACAAATATGAAAAACATAAAATGAGAACTTAATGCAAAAGCAACCATAATGCATAAAATGAAATCAGGAGGTGGTGTGGATGAAAAGAGTAACAATTTAGCAATTTTGATTTGTTCGTTCAGTGTCAATAGTAGACACCCAATTTTCCAAGCTAACGACCCTGTAGTCCCTGCAGACTACAGTACCCCGAACTCAAATATTGTTCATGTTATTAAAATTAGTAGTATGTAGGGTAAGCCCTTTTCAAGGTACCTTTTCACTTAAGGTATATGCTTTTTTTTTGTATGCAAAAAATATATCATAAGTGTATATGTTTACCTAAACTCATATTATTCACAATAGAGTTCATTTATCAGCTTCTTATTTGTATAAGGACTGATGTTTCAATCATCAGATAACTGTTAACTGAAGAATAAGCTTGTCATTTTGACATATTTCCCATACTGACACTGTCAATATGGCAAACTTATTCTTCAGTTATAAGTTATCCGACGATTGAAAAATCAGCCCTAAGCAAAATTCTAACATAAAAACTAAAAAACTCATAAAACTCATTTATTTTTGCAAATCGTTCNTTTGTAGGGAAACGCCAAGCATCTGTCTTTCCATCCTCGAGTAATCATTAATATAAACTTTAATTGGAACATTGTTGATATATCAACTATTAAAAATAAAAATTATTACTTTTTCAGTAATAGTTAACAAAAAATAAACTATAAAAACCAATATTTTCACAGTCCGCTGTGACCCAAATGAAAATTATTCACTGTGACCCATAGGCCGGTACGACACAAAAAAAATATTCAAAAAATAACTACTTATACCCAAACCAAAATTACATTACCCACAACGGATTTATCAAATAACAAGTTCAAAACATACGACTATCATTTATATTTATTAAAGGATTGGGAATACAACAAATTTCTAAATTACGTAAAAAAATACTTTCGTACTTACCTACTGGTCTGTGTGTGACAGCACGTGATTCCGCTCGGCGAGCGCGGCGGCGACTGGCACGTGAGAGGGGGGTATCGACGAGCAGTAGCCACGCGTTTGCTTGTGTGCGTAAAGCATCAGACGTAAGAATTATAGCGAATAATCCGCTGTGACCCGTGATCCGCTGTTACCCACTCTCCCCTACGTAGTGCTGTGCGAGCTGAATTCCACTGTATCGCGTCGTAGCAAGACTCGCATTTATTTAAATCGTCTTGCGGAGTAATCCTTCTGTACCTGTACTATTACTTATTCTGTGGTATTGCTTAGTATTCTATCTGTCCCTAATTAGTTGACCACGACTGTATGTACGTAGAAGAATCCTACTTAATTTTGCACCAAAATGACGAGCGATAGAGTGGGTTCAAATTGATAGACAAAAGCTTGTGTATTAGAATATAATATTGTACCCTACGAGAAAAAATACAATTATTTTATCCACAAGGTATTATTAAATGAGAGATTTCATTTTATTTGTACCTAAGCGTATAAAAGAGTTGTTTGTAGTCTAAATTTTATTTGTAATAGAATGATTGTTTTAATTTTAATTTGAAAGTTTTAACATTTACATTTGTAGTCAACTTAATCGGTATAACTTAAAATTAATACTGTAAAGAGTTTCAGGAATCTGAGAGACTTGTTCAAAGAGAATAATTCGACTGGTTCGAACAATGTATAACCGTTTTTAATTTCAGCTGAGCTTTTTTATAAAATAAAGTTTCTGTTCCAACTCTATTTATAACTTAGCCTGTCCAATACTTGTAATACGCAATCCAGCCGGCAACCATCTTGGCATGTTATTATAGGACCAAAGGGCAGCCATATTCTAGAAATTATTCTTTGCTTTGTTTACACAGTCCCATGTAATCGCCTTCTTGATCGAGCCTTTGTTATGACGACGTCGGTACGTACATACTTATATGATAAGCTGCTGAGTTTCAGAGAATAAGATACACGTGGTACACGTTTCTGAATTACATAAAATATATTTTAAAAAATATGTATGGATTCGAATGTACCTATTAATGTAACCAGCTATCAATTCTCATGATGGAAACGTAAAGCTATTTTAATGCTGAATAACGTCTAGCCTTTAACGCCAAAAGTTCAAAGGCAGAAAATTAGATAGCCAATTCAAATAATTTTCATGTTGTACCAAAAAAAAAAATTCAAATCTGTCTCATTTCTCTCTCTCTTCTCGAACATATAAATAACTCACAAGTTAATATAATATAGTGTTGAACTTTTACAATTACGATTACAATTGTTAATTAAAATCAAGCTAAACACAATGGCAACTGATGTAGTTGTACTAGATACAGTTTGACCGCCTCTGTGGTCTAGTGGTAAGACCACCTGCTTCAGACGCAGAGGTCCCGGGTTTGATTCCTAGTGGGGGCAGATTTTTCTGTTCACTTTGGTTGGTGGTAGGGCTTGTTCGAAATCCGCCTGGCTAGCTACCACACCATCTTACCTAATTCTGTTGCCATAACAACAATGTTAACAGCATTATTGTGTTCCGGCAGTTAGAGGTAAGATAGCCAGTTCCTCCGTGGTTGAGGATTCCGGGTGAAGCTCACTTCCACCTTCGGCCTGATCGTCACTTACCATCAGATGAGATACAGGCCAAGAGCTTCCTCGTTGTGGATAAAAAAAAATTACATCATGTGCTGTTCACTACTGTTCTTGTGTAGGTAACTACATTAAAGTTAAAGTTCATATGAACTAGCAGATGCACGCGAACAATATTATTACATTCAAAGCAATCTTACTCAAATGTGCAGCGTTTCAAAGGACAATGAATATTATGAACAATGCGGTAATGTCAAAGAAACCAAGCAATGTCAGAGACAAAAGCGAGGACCATTGTGACATCGCCGGGACAATACGTGTCGCGGTAATTAATAAACGTGATGAACTTTGAAATAATTCGGAGGATTCCGTAGGGTTGCCACCACCGCGATCGTTAATCAATTTTATTACAGACAGAAACTACATTTTCTTTGCTACTTTCATTGACTTATACAAATTAACCACCACTGGTCATGATGCAACCATTGCTAAAAAAAAGTTTTAGTGATAGTGCTACCTAACTTATCTTCAGTTTCATGGACAACACAAAAATAAAGTGGCTACTTTTCTAACTGAATAGCTTCTAATTGTACCGGACCTAATGGTTCTGGACCATCGTTATCTTAATTAAATCTCTATTGAACCTACTTAAAATTGTTTGCCTTTATACCTTTTACAGTTGTGTGTAGTTTTGCGTAGGTATAGCTACCTACGCAGTATGTACACTATGGTCCAATTACATGGGTCGTTGCCTCAGTTGTGGTATCCACACAATAGATAAAACAGAAGAGAAAAAAAAATCACCAAATTCGTGTGTAGTGGTACAACTATAGGCAATAAGTCTAATTGCTCTTCATAATCGAGTCTTCACACCAGGTCGCGACCTGGTGTTCAATTAACTCTATTATTAACTTTGAAACTTTGACAGCCCTGTGCATATTCCGAGTCACGGTTACAGAATTAATAATCATGAGCAAAACTCCATTGAACACAGTTTCTGAGTGACGACTGAGCGTGTGGTCTGTCAACGTCCCGGTTTCGGAATTTGGCTGGAGCTAGGACTGAATTAGACTTGTCAACGTCTGGGGTCAAAGCGATGCATTAATTAGCGTGTAATCAAGGAATATTGTTGAAGAGTGCAACAAGCTGATTAATAAAAATTTAATAAAAGAAAACCTACTGTATCAATTACTGTCGCTCATGTCTATGACAGCCCTCTCGAACCCGCCATCATTGTGCTAGGTTGTGCTAAATTGTGTCAAGTTAAATACGCATCTTTTCTTTAATTATCCAATAACCCTAACAAAATATGCTCTAACTAGGCA